TCTGTAAAAAGTAAAACAAATCTTTTGGAGGCAACAAAAACTCCACATATTTTTTCTTTGTCTTCATAATAAACTTTTAGCTTAAATAAAACACTTGCCTGCCTTGATGTTTTCCCTGTTAAGTGTTTTGTGTTTTGTATTTCGTGTGCTCAGGAGTTGGAGCAGGTGGAGGATGTTTGGAGGGGAGAAGTCCASGACCTTCTGTCTCAAATCACCCAGCTTCAGGCAGAGAACAAGGGGTTATTAGTGAGTCTCTCGCTGAAAGAGTCTCCCATCCCAGAGGAGGACCTACAGCAAAAACACGAGGGTGGGTTGTCTGCTGCAGAAACATTGTTCTGATTTTTAAAACATTTCATGTTGCTTGATGTGACCAATTAATTGTAAATGTTTTTTTATTAGTAACAAAAAGAAACAAAAATCAGTTCCATCAGGTGAAATATAAAAAAAGGCATCTGTAACAAAAGACTAATATAAAAGCTAGATCTAATAAAATAATGCACATACTTCAATGCTCAAAAAGTATTTTGATAAATACATAATTTAGTAATCATAGTGAAAACTCCTTTACATTGTACAATTTCTGATAGTTTTGTCTCGGCTTGGCACACCTGCTGTATGTTAAAAATGATTATCATGTTTGCTCACGTCGAATTGTACTGTAAATATATATTTACAAATAAAGAAACACACTTGTGTGTTGACTGGGAAGTAGGTCGGGAAAAGAAGGAGTTAGGAGGTGTGAGGGAGACTATTTTTAAATCAGACCAAAATATATCTCTTGTGCGAAACTCTTGGTGACTGCAGCTGTATTTAATGTCAGGGTTGCAGCAAAGACGCTCACAGACTTCACCTAAATAAATGGTCACAGCGTGACATGAAACAATTATAGCAGCTTGGATGCATTTGATTTCTTGTTGCAGAATACCTAGAGCCAGGCCTTGAGGTTACAGTCTAATAATATTGCACACTATAACTTTTTACACAGATTTATTCTCATTTTGCATGTCTTTTTGTGTCAGTGTATCATGGTAGTGCAAATATTTCCTGTGTTTGTTTCATCATTTGCAGAAACGTTGGAAAAAGAGAGCCGAGTGACAAAAAAGCTGAGAGACGTTGTGGACAAACAAAGGGATGAAATCAGGGCTAAAGACCATGAGCTTGCACTAAGATATGAAGACGTTGAAGCGGTAAGAGTTGACCCTACGTTACAGCTGATGATATGTAGTCCCTAAAAATACCGTCTTTATCCAGAATGAGTTTGATCGTAAAATGTGTTCTTTTAAAAACAGCTCCAGCTGCAGCAACATCGGCTCATGAGAATCAATCAGGACCTTCTTCACCGGATCGGAGCCATGGAGGCCCAGGGTAAAACGCTGATTCAGCAGAAAGCTGAACTAGAGGCTGCGGCACACGCACAGCAGCAGGAGTACGGAGCGCTGCGGATGGAGGCCACAAGACTAAGGAAGGASCTCCGTGAGAAGGAATTAGAAAAAAAAGCTGCTTTGATAGAGGACTTTCCTCTYTCGAGATTTGGAACGTCATCGCAGACATCACCACCGATCACAGTGAGAAACTGGACTGTTTCGTTTAAGTTAAAACTACGTCTTTATGGCTGTTAACGGGATGTTATGTGTTCTAAATCCCAGTCCACAGCAACATCGCTTCCTGTCTCCGTCAAACCAAAGTCTGTATGGGTGGAGTGTAGAGGGGATCCTGGCTTCGTGGCAAAGTGCTTTGAGTGTGACAGAAGTCTTTCTCTTCTGACCAAGTCTGCCAACGAAGACAATGAGGGAAACTGTGAGGATGATGAAAACATGGTAGCACATGTGCAGGTAAAACAGCTTACGATCTCTCAGGTGGCATTACTGTATCCACAGTATTCCTGATTTCGCGCCACTACCCATAATTCATAGCGGAAGCTCTGTTCTCTTTTTCCGGTTGTTGTTTTTTATTATTACGAGGATACACCATCGCTGTTTATCAAAGCATTTTTCATCAAAATTTGGCATAGATGGCCACACATCTGAGGTGTAGAATACTGTAAGAATGTTTAAAAAAGCTGCAAGGACAATTCTTTATCAGTGGCTCAGCCGTCACTGCTCACGGACAGATGAAGCTATGTCCCGATGTTAGCTAACAGCTACTACTGACATCAACTACCTCATCTTTCCCCGTAGACACACACACATGTAAAATCATAAATGTCAACCATTCTGGAAGCAAAATATTCATAAGCCCCTCAGATTTGTAATAATTTTATAGAAGTATTRTGATTAGATGGTTTCTCCCCCTTATTCTAAACATAAAATTCATTGGCTGCTAGTTCGCTAGTAACTTTTAGAGATGAACTGGAGGCAGCTGCAGTCATTTTAAATAAATAATAAACAAAATTAAATAAACTGCCTCTAATAACTCTGTTAGCATATTTTTATTTAAACAAACCGGACACTTTTATAGCCCCGGGGCGCTGCTTAGCTCGTCTTTTAATCCTGCCATGATGTAAACAACATATTTTAGCACGTAGTTGAGAAGATGATTGTTTATTATTCTGAGCTTACTCAGAATTGAGACAGTTAAATCAAGCCATTTATAAAGTTTTGCCAGCATGCGGCTGCTAACCACAGGCAAAATATTTCTTTAAAGCTAAGATTAGCTGCAAAAGAGATGCTAAACAACCAGGCTAACAGTAGCTAGCGCTGACGCTAACACCATTCACCGTAGGCTTTCATTCAGTAAAAGCAAAGAACTGCACGATTAAATAGCGACAGGGGAAACACAACATTTAGAGTTTAACTCACCAGGTACAGATTCAGGGTTTTAGTTGATATTGCTGGAAGCTGTCTGACTCACAGTGGTTCAGACGAGACGCCTTCGGTAACCAGCTTTAGCCCAGATAGACAGAGCTCTGCATCGGAGTGAATATCCATGGGATCTTTTGGTCCATAAAATGAAAAAGCAAACTCTCTTTGATGGATTTTTCAGGTTTAAAGCTGCAGCCATGTTACTTTACGATCCTCCTTCGTCTGCATAAAGTGCAGTTTGTAGGACGCTGAGCCTTTACTACATCTTGTTCCAAACAAAATGGGCCTCATGCAAGAACCRTGCGCAGCGCTGCTGCTTCTGAATAAATGAAAATGATTTAACACAGTTGTTTATATTTTTAGCAGCTCCTTTTATTCCACAGCTGACCTGCTAAAAATGACAGATTTTCTTTTCTGGATCTCTGACAGACGGACTTCAATCTCTGAACTCGTTCTTCTTTTTAATTATCGCTGTCATTTTCATGAATGGACACTTCCTTGTATCTGAGGCAGGAAACATAGCCTTATATTGTGTTTTTGGGGTGGTAATTATGCTAATCTCCTCTCGCGTGCACGAGCAGCTGGATACGAACAGGTGTAATTCATTTACACACTTTTCCTGAAGATAGAAGAGTTTGTTGAATCTGACGTGACATGTTCATACGAACAAAAGTAAGAGAAATTTAGGATAAGAAAACGAACATGTTCTTGCATGAAGCCCATTGTTTCTAAAGCGTTACTCAGTTTTCTTCCATTGTTGTGGCAGCCGACAAATACACAAGTTGAACCCGAACTCGTGGTTGAACTGTTCAAGCTGCCAGTTAAGACAAAAACAAACTAAATTAGTTGTTATCATAACTATCTGAATGAATGAATTTCTTGCGCACCGGAAAAAAGCGAACAGTGGGGGAGGGCTGTGGGCGGGGCTAGTGACTGTCATGTTAGCCTACATAAGCTTCTCAGGAATACTGTGGATTTAATACAGTCTAAGACTATTTACAGTAATCCGATATTACCACTTGGTCATTAGTTTGTCTGAATGACAACACTAGCTCAGATTACCTTAATGCATTGTTTCCATCTTCTTCTTATGGTTTATCATTGTATAAATATTTTCAAAACAACTAGATTATTATTGTTTCTATTTGGTTGGCTGTTTCTCTTGTCAGCTACCTGCTTTATTGGTGTCCTGAACGTGTGTTTACACTACAGAAGGAATCAGCTGATCCAAAGCCAGACGACGAAACGGACAGTTCTGAACAGGAGTCTGATAAACCTCGATTCACCCTGCAGGAGCTGAGGGACGTCCTGCAGGAGAGGAATGAACTCAAAGCCCAGGTTTTTATGCTCCAGGAAGAGCTGGCTTATTATAAAAGGTAGGATTTGCCTCACAAGCCCTAGGTGTCACTGTTTACAAGGCTTTAACGCAGCTTATATCATCTGTTGCTCAGTGAGGAGTTTGAGGATGACATCAGCCCCCCTGTTTGTGCTCCTGCTTCATCACAACCAACTTCAACTGATCAGCCTGAATCAGGAATAAGGAGATTGTGAGTAATAACTTTTTCTTTGTATGGTGTTAACTGTATGAGCACTTTTACTTGTAAATTCAAAATTCTTTTTACAAGATTCAATAAAACAAATGCAAAAACACTTTTGCAGTCATGACTGTCACTGAAATACACTTTGATGCATAAATTGCATAAAACCTAGAAAGGTTTTATTGCTTTTTGTGAACTCTAAATGTATTTTCTTTATTTCACCACCTGTCCCCTTTCATTTCATCCATTTTCTGCTGGACAGGATCTTCACTGCCATAATGCCGATGGTAGCAGCTGGTTTGATCACAGATGATCCAACATTATTGCCAATCGGAAGACTTATTTCCTTTGTCAGACCTTAAATTTTTTTTTAAAATGTCATCTCAAAATATTTTTTTCCACCACATATTTACAGCAACTGGTTTAAAACTAGTGTTTCCCTTTTTTACAAGTCAAATTTCTCTTGTTTTTCAGGTAATAACCCAAGTGATACGTTATCAACCAATGTCAAACTTTTGATGCATTTTAGTCTTATTTGAGCTTTTGTTGCAAGAACTTAAAATGAACTTTATTAAGTTAAATATGTGACAACTGAGAATTTCTCAGAGTATAATCTTGGTCACCTTTTTGTTTTGTTTTTAAGATCCCTAACAGTCTATTGATAATGATTTAATATGTTAGAAGTTAACTGGACATATCAGGTGATGTGTACAAAATTATCTTGTGAAAACTGATAATGTGTTATTTTGGTTGTGGTGGTGGTGGATTATATTGCCAAACTGCAACAAAAATATTTTCCATACCAAATATGGCATATTATGTATATATATGCGCATCATGCACCTGTAAAATGATGTTTATTCAGAATAAATAAAGTTGTTTTTGTTTTTTTTACTACTGTTGATTTTTTGTGTTAATGTAAAATATCAACGTAAGTGTTAATATAACAATGTTTCGATATTTTTGYAACATGAAGAAGTCATTAAAATTTCTATCATGTTCATTTAGCCTCTGATGAAAAACACTACAATATAATCACGTGCTTCCTCACCTGATCATCACAGGCTTTTTTGACGAGTTATTTGACACGTCGAGGCAGACCGTTTGGTAGGAAGAGCTTCACTCGCGTTTAAAAACGAATTGCTTTCTTTATCGGAAACATCCACGTCTGTGTCAAAAACCTGACGTTTGAGTGAGTGCTCTCGATCTATAGACGATCTTTGCGTTTACCTGTCGCCTAGGATACTTTGCCCTCCTCTGCTTGTCCTGCGAGCCTCACGATTGGCGGGTGAGTGATGGAGGAAGTGCGGCACTGCTGGAAGTTCGTTACTTTCTTTCACAAAACGTTCAGAGCCGAAGACAAAATAAGATAAGGAGTCTTGTTAAAAACATTGAAAAAAAAAGAAAATCTGGAGAAAAACGTCAACTGAATTCAGTTATTTCGAGAAATCGCTCAGTTTCGCGATGGAGTTCGGTGAGGATTCGTCGCCTGCTCTGGCTTTTGAGAAGGACGCTTTTCAGCTCACGGTCGAGGATGTTTATGACATTTCCTACGTAATCGGACGGGATTTATTGAAGATCGGCAGCACGGGAGAAGAAGTGTCGGATCTGCAGTTCAGGATAGTCAGAGTTCTGGAGATGTTCGAAACKTTGGTCAACAAATACAACCTGTCTCTGGAGGAGTTGAAAATGGAGCGGGACAACCTGAAGAGTGAGCTGGACAGGATGATGAAGGAGGGTTCCGTCTCCGGACAGAGCAGAGTGAGTGGTTTTCATCCCGTTCCCCTCTGGAGGTCCGAGCTGTGAGCTCGTCTCTGAGACTTCCTGTCTGTCTTCTGCAGCAATCGGGGGGACCCAATCAGCTGGTGGTGGACCTGACCGACCCCAACAGACCGCGCTTCACCATGCAGGAGCTGAAGGAGGTCCTGCAGGAGAGGAACCAGCTGAAGGCCCAGCTCATGGTGGCCCAAGAGGAACTCCAGCTGTATAAGAGGTGCACATTTTTACTTTGAAATAATCATTTCAAATAACGCAATCAGTTTCTTTACATAGTAAATCAGTCCATGTAAATTAAAACTGAGTCAAGCTCAGAGGATGTCTGCTTAAAGSTTTATAAATGCTCATTACATTATTCTGTAACACCTCTGTCATTAAACATGAAACATATTAGTTWAAAAAAAAGACTTCCATGAGTATAACAGAGTATTTCTTCTTTAGATTGTTATTTTTATGTACAGTGCCCTGAGACAACATATGTTGTGACTTGGTGCTATATAAATAAACTTGAACTTGAGTATTGTGTAGCTATAAATTCATGTAAATTTGAATCTAAAACTCTGGATCAGTTGTACAGATTATTCTTGTAAAAATATTTAAAAGACTTGTTTTGTGGAATCATTGTGTGTAAAAGCACAGTTAATGTTAATACAGTCATTAATAGTGTACACAGTTCAGAATCAAACAAAAGCTTTGGAAGCTGACATGTTTAATTTGTTATAATTTTCTAGTTTAAGACTTGTTCTCTTGCTGATTTTGTCAAATGCAGTGTTGACATCCAACATGGGTTTCAGCAGATATTGTCAAAACCAATAACTTTAGATGTTATTACAAAGCGATTTTGTCAAATGCAGTGTTGACATCCAACATGGGTTTCAGCAGATATTGTCAAAACCAATGACTTCAGATGTTATTACAAAGCACTAACAAGTCTGTTGTTTTAGTAAATGTTCATAGTGACTATCTGTCTACTTTTTTTTTTTTTACCACAGTGGGATTCTGCCACAAGCCGAACCAGCCAAGGTGGAAGTGGATCTGAATCCACCAGCAGCTCCGGAGGACAGTTCAWCAACAATAAATGAGAAGACGACCATAGGAAAACTGTGAGTAAAAACCTGTGTTGCTTGTTTTAGGCAGTTTTTAATGTCATAGGTTAAATAAACGTTTTGTTTCGTAGCCCCATGAAGCAGTAAGCTGGCAGAGATAGTTCTCAGTCTGTCTCCAGTCCACTAATGTGAGACTGATGACCCGATGAAGTCATGCTGATGTTTGTGTGAGGAGTGAGTCAGGGAAAGAAAAATGCTGGATATTGTGTTTATCTGCTGCTGTCAGAAATTATAAATATGCTGTGACTCAGTTTTGAGTGCTCGTCGTACAAATCTTCCATGAACCGAAGACCTTTAACTTCTATTTTTCTGTTCATAGGTTTTCATTCAGGCGAAAATGAAGAAAAAAATAAAGCTTTTCACGAGAATGGACCACGTAAGAGGCAAACTGGATTTGTCTGCACAATTTAACCACTTTTGTAATGTTTTTTTTACATGCTTTTGTTGTCATTCCAACATTTTGTACTGGAAATTTTAGCCTAAAGTTGTTTAGTATTAGTCGCTGTAGCTGAACTCTAAATTTTGTAAAAAAATAATTGAGCTCAAGATAACTGGAAAGTATTATCAGTGTTGTTAAACGCACTGTTTTTATTTTTATTTTAGAAATCAAAATGAAGTCATAAACAACCAAAACCCCACCTTCACAGGATGTCAGGATAACATTGTTTTATGTCTGGGAGTAAATATGTCAAGGGTTCTGTTTTTGTTTTGTATTAAAAAGCAAGATATAGCTGCCTACAACCAAGTTTCCATAAGCTATGTGTAAAATGAGCATGAATGTTTTTGTATGCACTGCTCAGTTATGTCATAAAACAAGAATGTTGGTTTTCAGTTGGTCTAAAATTACATCGATGTCTTAATATTTGTTGTAGATTTTACCCCTCTAAGTATGATTTTGTTTATTAGGTTGTAAAAGTCAATTTTATCATTAAACTCAAGTGTTATCCCACAACTCAGTACCTGTTTGTCACAGCTGGATTAGAAATGCAACTGCTTTATTCCTCAATATACAGCTCAGATAGTTTACAACCAGAAATGAATTTGTTGCACAAAGTAACAGCACCTGAAGAGAAAAAAATATATAAATTCATGTTTCCACCCAACTGCTAGTTTACCTAGAAAAATATAAAAGCACAATAAAAACAATCATTTTTGCAAAAATACTCTGAACTAGCTGAAGTTTTAACCTTCAGCTAGAAAAAAAAATACATGTTTATACTTCATAGAACAATAAATTTTAAACACTGTTCCTTTGTTGTTTGTTTTATGGAATGCTCTCGCCCAAACCAGACGGCATCCATTAATGTCAGATGTGATGGGGGTTTCAGTGTTTGAGCCACGGGTGTGCAGAGATCGAGTCCTTGCTTCGATCGCCGTAGTCGTAGAGCAGCTCCTCGTCAGCTTTGATGTCTTTGGAAGCCACCAGGATCAGATGAGGGGTCCCGTCGATGCCGTGGAGCCGTGTGTGGCAGTTCCCACTTTTGCTGTGGTTTAGCAGCCTTCCGAGACGACCCGTTTCCTTCGTAGCATCAATACTGTGGTGCATAAAGAAAACATCGTCACTAATCATGGTGAAGGTCAAACCTTTTCAACATGCTTAGCAGAATTCCTTTCTGGGACCATCAAGCCTTTTAATATCTATGCTGATATAATTAAAATGGTTTGTATTAAAAAAAATCATCCTTTAGCTCAGTTACTTTTAATTTACATTAAATTGATGCATGGAAAGGTTGATTCTCAATATAAAACATGATTTAAAAAATAATATCCTCAAACATTTATGTACATGTTTGATATTGCTCTGTGCATAATAATCATATGAAACCAAGATTACACCAGCTTTTATAAACTATACATTTTTTGGATTGTAAAAAATAAAAAGACACCTGATCAGGTCAAAACATTTTAACGTGCTCCAAAAACCAGCAGCTCGTGTGTGGCGCACATCAACTTTGGTAAATTATTTCTTTGTTGTAACAAAGCTTCTTGGCAGTAAATCTTATACTTGGTAAATTCCCTTTTTAAATGGTATCATATTTGTAAGGAACATGCTTTTGTGGGATGAGCAGTAGAGCYGAGTGTGGGTTGTGCACATGAAAAAATTGTCAAAATCTTATCTGCCAAACAGCTTATTTTTACTGTTATTGACACTTGTTTTGAGATTCTGGTACCTTCAGGTGCCTGGTATAGGTTCCTGCCAAGAAGCCTTGTTACAACAAAACAGTAATATGCCAAACATTTTTTTTAATCTGTGTGCTTAGTTTAGTTTGAAACAGAAAAATGTATTAAAAAAAAACAACAACAACAACTGGACTTTAATTCTCAAGTTGAAGACATTTAACTCCCTATCCAGGAGACTTTCTCAATTCAAAGTCTGGAGTGTGCTGAGGTACCAGCTTTAATAGAGCCACATGAGAGGCCCTGAAAGGACTTGGATTCACATGTAGATTGGGCTGAAGCCAATAGTCATTCACAATAAAGGCTCTGACTCCTGATAGAGACGCCCTGGTTCATGCAGGACGGTGTGAACTACCTGCCTGTTGCAATGGGAGCTCGTTATGCTCTGTAGCCGTGTTTCCATCAAGGTGTTTTAATGCGCATTTTGAAGTATCGCATCAGAAAAGGAGAATGGAAACGGCATGATTCGAAAAAACTTCCTCTAATTCGCATCAAAGTTGATACGCTCGCTTGAGGTGGTTTTTGTTTTTGTTTGTTTTTTTTTCCAAAAAGAGTTGATGCGCAAAAGGAGAAATGGAAACACATTTGTCGAATCAGTTCTGACGTAGCGAACATTTACCTCACATGTTGATCAGCTGTTCTCGCTGTCTGTCCGAAACCGGTCCCGGTACCAGAGCGACTGCAGCTGGAACCTCCTCCCGCTGTCGGCGTATTCTCAGTCATTCCCGTAACGTGAAAAGAATTGCATTTCTTCCTCTACGTCTCCCGACCGCATGTAAAATCGCCAAAACTAGTTGATGACAGAATAATTACAACTTTCCTGATAGTAGCAACACGTTCCTGATAACTCCTCTCCATTTTCCTGAGACGTGACTTTTACTTCCTGTTTACTACACGCATGCGTCTGACGTAACTGATTCACTTCGAGCCAGTTGATGGAAACACGTCTGATTCGCATTTCTTCGTTTTTTTTTGTTTGTTTTTTGCGAAATTTTTAAAATTCGCTCAAAATTCGCATTAAAATTGGACGGAAACACAGCTTGTGTCTGTATGGTTTGTGTGAGATGTTTTGGTCTCATTGCTGAGAGTGTGAGTTGGAGCGGAACTTACAGGGAATCAGACTTAGTTTAGTTGGCAAACTGACGATATTTGAGGACTTACCAGTAAGCTTTAGATTGGTACTGGAAGTAGTACATGTAGCAGCCTGTTTCAGGATCCTTTGAGTACTCGACCTCTCTTTTTTTAGCCTCTGTCAGGTCCAGCAGGTCGCCATGGTACTCAACAACAAAGTCTCCCTTTTTGAAACCTTTAACAGCAAACACTCCTCTTCCTTTCCCCTCAGTGTGTTTCACCTGCGGGCATTCAAATGTTTAACTGATCTGGTACAGGCTCAATAAATACCTACTTTACCATAAAACAACTCAGCAGTGCCAATAACAAACCTGCACACATTATGTAGCTGATTATTACAACATATTAATTTCTTTAATTGATACCTGCATTCCTTCTTCAGTTCCATTCTTTATCAGATCATCTATCTGTTTGTGCTCCTCACTCTGGTGACAACAAATGRGTTTATTCAGAAAAATATGAGCGCACACATGAGTTTTACAGTTTCTGTTAAWGAGACTATTCCTAACAGTCATACAAACCTTTAGCTCAGTTTTTGTTTTTCTGCCACTCCGTCTGATGGGGAAATAATCCGTGACCTTTCTGTTTTGAACAGCTTTGTTCTCCGTCCTGAAAAGACAAGACATTGTGATTGTGCAACTGGCTGTGAATAAAAAGACAAGTTTATTGCCAAGTATTTCTRCCATGCTGGCATTGTAAACTCACTTTTTTGCCCGGGTCTTGCGGCCAGTTTTACTCAGAGGTTTGGATGCTGGAACTTGAGTTTTTGCAGCAGACTTCACATTTGACTGTGTGGAGGATCCTTTTTGCTGTGGCTGATCAGAGGCTTGCTGTCTGGTCCCGTTAGTCTGACAGGACACCTCGGGGCTCGGTTCTTTGGACTCACAGCTCTCAGATTTAATTTTATCAGGCATGTCTAAAATGAGACGGAAACAAAAAATAAGCCTGTTCAAAACCTTTAGCCCTAATTAAGACAGTGAGACCCCTTCAAAATGCTGTTAAAGTGTGTCATAAGATGGGTCAGTGAACACTGCTGTCATTCTACTTAAATGTCTTCTGTGGATCTGCTGACTATACGGTTAAAAAGAGGTCAGCAGCAGACTTCCTATGTAGCAGAAATGCCTACAGATTTTCTGGTGAGTCAGTTCAAGTCAGTATATTTAATGCCCACCTGGCTTCAGCTTTGACACGTCTGAATTGGATGTGTCGGAATCTTTTCCCTCCTGGATCAGCATGCTCGAATTGTCACTTAATGGGGATCTAGATTTTCTCGGACTCCGAAAACTCTGGAGGATCGTCTGAACTTTACCTGCACAATCCTGCAAGAGAGTGAATTGTGAAGTTAACAGGACTGTAAACACTGTTGGTTAATCTGCATCAATTCTCGTAGATAAAACGAACATTGCAGAACTGTGAGACTTCGAAATACTTTCCAAAAGCAAAAGTGTAAAGAAATTAGTTTTTGTTTTTTCAACTTTGGCTGAAAGGTCTGGATCACTTCAAACTAAACTCAATTCTCTGTCAAATTGACTGTCCTCAAAGGTTCAGTTTGTCAGCTGTTACAGACGTCTCGGGATTTGGCTCGACCGACTTCTCATTTTACTCACTTCGGCGCACATCACTGCCCTCTGTATTCTGTGCTGAAACAGCCTTCTGTTCACTGTCACAGACACACTGGTTGCTGCAGATTTATAAAGCAGAACAGGTAAAACCCCATCCTACCTCCATTTATTACACAATACTCATATTAAACATTTGTCCTCTCTGTTCCAGCTAATTTTGCACCCACAAAGCATACATTTTGTTTATTTATTTTGCTGCTAGTAACTGGAACCATATGAAACAGATTTTATAGCTCACTTCTTTTATTACATTTTCATATTTTACAAGTTCTGTGAGCTTCATCCATGCCCCTCCTGTTTTTAGCAGTCTTGTTTATACTTTTGTTGTATAAAAACACCTTTGGTAACAACTGACCAACCAGGTTAAATAAAAGGTCTTTTTAATATCATTGTAACGTTTATAAAAAAATATGGAAAATTGAAGACTTTTGCATTATATCATACATCTATAAAAGTACGTTTAGGCCATGGAGCCAAAACAAAAATGTTTTTAAAGTTAAATGTGGCATAAATTCAGCCTGCTACAGTCTTGGTGTTTTATCACAAAAATAAAAATTAAAAAACGTCCTTACTTGCTTTTCACTTGATTATTATTTTAATTTATGATTTAAAACCACAGAGATAGAAAGTTAGTAGGGAGCAGTGCTCAGCTGGTTTCTGACTGTAGTTTCCAGTAGAAAAACTTCCTATCTTCATTATTTGTTGTCGTTTTCCAAGTACAAGTTTATGCAAGACATAGAAAATATGTTACCGACAATAACAATAAAATAACTTTAACTTGTGTACATTTGTTTCTAGGTTTGCAAACAGAAATGTGAACTCTACCTTTTTAGTTGCTGGTTTGTTTTCCTTTGTCTCAGTTTGTGAGGTGGCTGAATGTTCAACACTGTTCTCAGACGTTTTGCTGCTTCTCAACGCAGTTTTCTTCCCTTTTATAAACATTAAAAAACAAATATTAGCGTTACTCAATAGTTTGATACATTATAAAAATATCGTCGAGTTTTTAATACTACTATTGTTTTACTAAGGAGAAAAAGAGAGGAAACTTTGTTTAAAATCTAATCTATCCTATTCTGCGAAGTTAGCTGAGCGTAAACTTATTAATGTAGCCGGTTTAACACAAAACAATTGTTCGAACAATTTAAAAAGTAAGTCAACCTTTCGCCATTTCAATTTGTAGAATTCAGTCCGAAGACGACGTCGTACGTCCACGGGTTTTTSAGTCTGTTTAATATTATTTTAACATATCAGCATACTACGACATAAACTTCCGCTGCAACAAGAGCAAGGTGGATTTAAAAACGCTATTACGCTTCTCATTGGTTAGTTTCTTTAAAAGGGGCGGTGCGAGAGCATGGGAGTGGCTTTCTGATTGGTTATCCAGGAGCTCGCTTCCGGGCACACGTGATACATTAAAACGTTTGAACTCTCGTTGTATTAACCACAGATAATAAAGGCCTTTMTATCTATGGACGCAACACGATAAAGAATGTAACTCTCCAAGAACAAAAGGTCATTTTCGCAACAGAAAGAGCAAATAGAATAAACGTATGTTTTATACCTTAAAATGTAAAAAAAATACATTGCTGCAGTTAGTTTTAATCAAGATGTTGGCAGTAAGAATTGTTCCTTTTATGCAAACTAAACAGCTGTCAGATGTAACTGATAACTTATCTGTTTATTCTCAGTTCTTTGAATAAATTTTATTTGATACCAAAAAGTATGTAAGAGTGAAGTAAGAGCAGACAAACATCAATTTAAAGCCTTGCAATCTGATGACATTTACATTTAGTTATACTGGGATTAAAAACTCTGCTAAAAACTGTCCCATGAACATGCTTTGGGTTCAAATGTAAGTTAATAATTTCAAACACACAAACAGATTTACAAATTTAGCACAAATGAGTACAAAAAAATGTCAGCGATTGTGTCMAACTATACAAACATACATTTTGGAAAACACAATCCCTAATAAAGTTTTTTCTGAGGTTGCTGAGAAAACAAGCATGTTATTTTATGTACATTTTATTTTATTTTTTACCCAAACACTTTAAACACCATCATTTTCAGGTTTGGAGTCTTTGGCCAGACTTTCTTTAAATAGTCTTTTTCGCTCCAGATTTTCATTCACTTTTCTTCTTTTTTGTTGTTTCTTTAACGAAGACTCTTTCTTCTTTATAACCAGTTCGCTGAGCTCTCCTTTGTATTCAACATCGAGTTTCTGTCTCATTATTTCCCGAGCTCGCTTCCGATTTGTCTCCATAGATCTGGTCTCATGGCACTGGAGAAGAAACAGAATCAAAGTTGGAACTTGAGTTGTACACACAAAATAGAAATTTAACAAAATACACAATTTTTACTACATAATATGCAATACTTTGTCGCAGATTATTCTGTTTTAAGGATTAGAAATCATACACCCTAATTTTGAAAAAAAAAAAAGTTTAAAAATGAATTTATTGCCATGTTGTGAATTCATTTGGGTCAGTGTTTACCTTCACTACAATTCCTGTGGGGATGTGTTTGAGGACTACACAGTTGTTGGTTTTATTGGTCGCCTGACCTCCAGGTCCAGACCCTCGCACAAACTGCTCTTCAAGTTCATCCTCATTCAGGACTGGAAGATCCGTCAGGTCCTTTTTACCAAAAGCCAGAACTCGCGTGAGTCCAGATGTGGTCGGGGTTAACAGTGGGGAGAGGCCGGGAGCAGCTCCCCATACGACCTGTCTGGACACGCTCAGCATACGGCTAGACAAAAGGACAAGCAGTGACATTGCATTACTAATTATTATCAACAAATAATTTAAGTTCTATTTTAATCGGCTTTTGTTATGTCCTTCAAAGCATCGCCGCCTCGTGGTCATGTATTTTTTGTTTACTTCCGGAATCGATCATCCAATCAGCAGGCTTGCATTTTTCTTCGTGGCTGCAAAATAAGACGCGTCGATCCTCTAGCGCCATCGCGTGTTTTAAATGTAACGCGTCAAAATAAAATTTTATTTATTTATGTATGTATGTATGTATGTATGTATGTATGTATCTATCTATCTATCTATCTATCTATCTATCTATCTATCTATCTATCTATCTATCTATCTATCTATCTATCTATCTGATTAGGATGAGATGTTATGTACACCACTGAAAATGTTTCATTCAAATATAATTTCTCACTATCACATAAGAT